CACACACATATATACAAACACACAAACACATACAACACACAACACACGTACATACATTCACACACACACATACGCACACATACGCACAAAACACACATACCCACACACACATACGTAAACACGCATACATAAACACAGGCCATATACACACACATACAAACACAAACACACACACATACGCAAACACACATACATAAACACAGGCCATATACACACACATACAAACACAAACACACACACAACACAACACACAACACACGCACACACACACAACACACACACACAACACACACACAACACAACACACGCACACACACACAACACATACACACATACACACACATAGCACACACACAACACACAACACACACACACATAGCACACACACAACACACACACACACACACACACACACACACACACACACACACAAATGTTCAAGCATCAACTGTTGGGAGCTGGAGATAGGATTACCTATTTCGCTGTGCGGTGTCCAGTATTTTGTGTCGCTTTTGCCAGTGGCAGGGGGAGCTAAGACAATAAAACAAAAGGCATGTTCTTTTGGTGCTGGAAAAATAAAACACGAACAAGAGGTATGTTCTTTTGGTGCTGAGAAAATAAAATAAAAGGTATGTTCTTTTGATTCTGAAAAAATAAAATACGAACAAGAGGTATGTTCTTTTGAAGCTGAGAAAATAAAACATGAACAAGAGGTGTATGTTCTTTTGATGCTGAGAAAATAAAATACGAACAAGAGGTATGTTCTTTCGATGCTGAGAAAATAAAACAAAATGTAAGTTCTTTTCATGCTGAGAAAATAAAACAAGAGGTAGATCTATGTTCTTTTGATTCTGAGAAAATGAAACAAAAGGCTGTTCTTTTGATTCTGAGAGAATAAAACAAGAGGTATGTTCTTTTGATTCTGAGAGAATAAAACAAGAGGTATGTTCTTTTGATGCTGAGAAAATAACACAAAAGGTATGTTCTTTTGATTCTGAGAAAAATAAAACAAACGTTTTATTCTTTCGATGCTGAGAAAATAAAACAAAGGGCCCGCTCTTTTGATGTTAACAAAATAAACAACAACAACAACAAAAACTCTTTGAGTTTGAAAAATATAAAATAAAAAACCTGTTGGTTCTTCCCATTTTTGTTTTTAACCTTCGCTTTCGTTCGACACAAACTTATTATCTCACATTTCTTCTTCAGAAAAATCAACAACAAACACGTAAATACAAGCAGAAGGAAAATGGAACGTTATAGACTCCGCTAAACGTAGTGCCACAAAATCCACATTGTATACGCACGTGCTGGTGCAGGCTGGTTCCCCAGTAAGCCACAATACATGTTTTAACAGGGCCAGAATTTCGGGTCGGGGCAACTCATATATATATATAGAGAGAGAGAAATCTCTCTCTCTCTCTCTCTCTCTCTCTCTCTGTCTCTCTCTCTATGTCTCTCTCTCTCTCTCTCTCTCTCTCTCTCTCT